GTGGTAGTGGTAGTGGTAGTGGTAGTGGTAGTGGTAGTGGTAGTGGTGGTAGTAGTAGTAGTGGTAGTAGTTGTTGTTGTTGTCGTTGTTGTTTGTTGTTGTTAGTAGTAGTAGCAGAAGCAGTAGCAGTAGTTGTAGTTGTAGTAGTTGTAGTTGTGGTACGAGGTACCAGGTACCAGGTACTAGGTAGTAGGTAGGTAGTAGGTAGGTAGGTAGGTAGGTAGGCAGGCAGGCAGGTAGGTAGTGGTTGTTGTTGTAGTAGTTGTTGTTGATGCTGTTGCTGTTAGTAGTAGTAGTAGTAGCAGCAGTAGTAGTAGTAGTGGTAGTAGAAGTAGTAGTAGTAGTAGTAGTAGTGGTAGTGGTAGTACTAGTGGTAGTCGTGGTACTAGGAACTAGGTACTATGTAGTAGGTAGTAAGTAGTAGGTAGGTAGTAGGTGGTAGTAGTAGGTAGTGGTTGTGGTTGTGGTTGTGGTTGTGGTTGTTGGTAGTAGTAGTCGTAGTAGTAGTGGTAGTAGCAGTAGTAGTAGTCGTAGTAGTAGTAGTCGTTGTAGTAGCAGTAGTTGTAGTAGAAGTAGTAGAAGAATAAGTAGTAGTAGTAGTAGTAGTGGTGGTGGTAGTAGTAGTAGTAGTGGTGGTAGTGGTAGTGGAAGTAGTAGTAGCAGTAGCAGTAGCAGTAGTAGTAGCAGTAGTAGTAGGTAGTAGCAGTATGTAGCAGTAGTAGTAGTAGTAGCAGCAGCAGTAGTAGCAGTAGTAGTAGTAGTAGGAGCAGCAGGAGTACTAGTAGTAGTAGGTGGTAGTAGGAAGAAGTAGGTATATAGTAGTATGTAGTAGCAGGTATAGTAGTAGTTGTTGCTAGCAACTGTTGCAAAGGAACCTCTACAACACCACAGCATGCCGCAGCCTACAAACAAGGACCGGAACCCCGTGGTGGTTTCTTGACCCTCCCCGGGAACAATAAAATAAACACACTAAAAAACAACGTTCTAAACACTTACATGTGAATATTCTGTTGCGGCTATTTCAACAGCAGCTGCAACAAAAGCATCGACCGGCGACCGAAGGCAAACTGTGGAAAGCCCTACTAAAGTCAATAAGAAGTTGCGAACATGCCTTCCGACCAAAACCAAAGGTCTTGAGTCTGGATGGCGCTGATCCAGCGCTATTCAATTCGTGCTAGTTGTTCTAAAAACCTGTATGTCCGAGCAACGTTCTGAAGGTAGGTATATGTAGGTCTCTAAATTTATGTATATATTGTAGATATATATATATATAAACATATACAATTATATAATATCTGCAACATTTCCATGAGAACTGGAAGTGCTCAAGAGGACACTTCTGACGCACCCACTTCGGTCAAGCTCAGCTGCGCGGCGAACCTTCCTCCTATCTTGCAAGATCATGTAAGCACAGTATGCTAGCTTTCGCCCCCAAACCCCCATCTTCATCAAGAAAAAAGAAACAAAAGAAAACAAGCCAAGTCTTCGGTCTTGCTGAAACCTGAATCAGGTGTCGACCGCTCCCCCTCGCATCGGAGTCCCACCCAACCGTCCTACCGAGTCCTGAACCAGGCGTCAACAGCACCAAGCGTGACTCCCCAATATAAGTGCATGGATGTTCACCGGCATGTTTGGCACATGTTACATCCACTGCAGGAGAGATGTTCTGAAAATTCTCTGCGCGTAGCCGGCGTAGCTCCGGTCCAGTCTTGTGCCACCCTGTTTATAACCGGGACAAACAAGCCCTCGTCTCCAGGCATGACTGTGTTTTGGAAATTCACCTTCTGGCGAGCGAGCAGCTCTGATCTCAGTTCCCTCAAAGATCATGAAGGACTTGAATTATATTTTGTCCCTTTATATTTTACCAAAGAATTCTTGTCATGTGATCACTCTTGTAATTATTATGTTATATTCATTAAGGTTTACTTACGTTTATTCTTGTTAACCAAAAGTTGTGAAGATATTTCTATGGAAGAGGTCTGTCCAAAACAAAGGTCCATCTTCCCCAAGATTTCCCGAACTTTGGCCACTGTCCTCCATCTGGGGAAACCATTTGCCGCTGTTCTCCACCTGGCAGCCATGCACTGCCCAGCAAACTGGATTTTTCGCCTCCCCCACTTCGGAAAACCAGGAGTCCCCACTCCAAGGAAACCTGCTCCTTGGGGGGGTGGAGGATCCGAGGACACACACGACACACACACACACACGCGCACAAAAACAGCGCGCACACACACAAAACAAAGATTAAACCGACCGATACCAGGTGAAAATTGTTAGTTGAATCCCCCATCAATTTTGCAGCGAAGGCTAAGCTGACACTCCCAACCTGTTTCTGAAGAGCAAATATAGGTGGCGGTTTGCGACTTCCATGATTATTTCAGGGAGTGTATTACCACGTGGGCCAACTCACTGCATTGACTGCACAGTAACTCAATGTTGAAGATGTTTTTCCGGAAAGGTTCTTAGCCAATATGTGGCTACCACACCTCCCAAGAACACACATGAAAAGTCAACAGACGTGTGCAAGAGTAGCTATTTCGAGGTGGTGGTTTCCTTTTTTGAACGAATTGAACATCCTCGCGGTTGCCGGTTTTGCCAAGTGCGTCTGTTGCAAGGCTAGTATTGGGAAAACTTGAGTCAAAAGCACTGGGCCACGGTTCCTCCTTGCTGCGGCACAAGCCACAATGTGATAGAGAATCTCCTGGGTGTTTTCGCCGGGATTGCATGGATCCATAATGATCCATCTATCTGTCTATCTGCCTACCTGTCTATCTGTCTGTCTATCTACCTATCTATGTACATCCATAAACATCCATATTCATCCCATGACCACGGCCACCGGCCACAACTTCTCTCCTATTTATGTAACAAGTTGGGTGACCACTTACTTGCTTGTTGAACATCCGCAACTATACTCGTCTTGAATGAGAAAGGGCACCGCTTGTCCCCACGGTCAGCTGTTCTTTCGTGGGGCGTCATTACAACCTGTCGCATCCAAACCGAGCCATGAGGCAATACCTCAAATCTCTCCAGTGCACAGTGCACAGCACTTCACAAATGATCAGCTGAAACACTCTCAACCTTATGAATCGCAAGTGTCCCACCCCAGCTCAACCTCTCGATCGAACCAGCCAAGTGTCCGTCTTCTCATCCGGAACCTCCAAAAGCGGAGCCTCGAAGACGTGCCAAGCAGCATCTGCTTTCCAGGCGCCACAAGACACCTGCCTCGGGCGCATGGCGCATGGCTTGAACCTGGTCGTCCACTCAGAAACCTCCTCTCGGCGTGTGTGTGTGTGTGTGTGTGTCAAACCCTGTTTCCAAGGGTTTAACTTTAAATTAATTTGAAGCAGGGGGACAGAGCTCTCTGATGCTACTCTGTCCAACGAAGCTGTGCATCAGAGAGGGAAGCATCCACTGGCCATGGATGTGTACCTGCTTTCAAA